CTTTGCAGGTGCTGCTGGACTGGAGTCAAGCCCAATCAGCAAATGCACAATGGTCAAAGGGATAAAAAGAGACCAGCAATAACTGGAGGAACAGAGCCGTCCCACCCCTGCCTCGCGTTGAGGTTTCGTAAGTCAACAAATCCCACTCAATATAATTTGACAAGGAACTATTCAACTCACAAGATTAATCAAGACATCTCAGACAATGAAGAAAGCTCTAAACACATACGGTAGGTGCAGTAAAGGCTTCGTGATTTTACAACTATTGAAGAAAGTCACGAGATCGTTCAGATTTGCAGATAATACTTTCACATTAATCATTATGCTTTGCATTGTAAATACTGCACAGGAGGGGCAAATCTGAGACACAGGCAGCCGAGATTTGTGGTGCTCCTGGGCTAGAGCCAGAAGGGCCTAGGAAGCTAACAACCATGACATGTGCTAGTCTTTGGTCTTTTCAGACCTGAGATCCATTTTTTCTGCCAACGTCCATCACTGGGCTCACTTACAATTTTTTTACCACAGGTTTCTCTCTTTTTCTCCTTCCTATCTTCCTGCCCTCTCTCTCTCTTTCTCTTTCTCTCTCTCTCTCTCTCTCTCTCTCTCTCTTCTTGTCTCTTTGCTTTCAAAAAAGTAAATATGAATCTAAAAGGAGGTCACTGCTGGTGCAACCCACTATCTTCCTGCAACTGAAAACCAGCATCACGCAACAAGAATGGGGAACCTTCAGATGTTGTGGGACTCCATCAGCCCCAGCCAAATATCAGAAATGATGGAAGCTGTAGTCTAATAGCATCTGAAGGGCCACTGGTTTCCTAGCCCTGGCATAGACTGATGGTGACATTATGGCCTGCTTCTCCCATTGCCTCCTCTCTAACACAACAGGAAGGAAAGGCAAAATCTCACCTCACTGGAGGTGCCCGGTGCAACAGAAAGGCACTATTAACTACTTGAATTTTGAACATCTAGCACACTAACCCGCAAATTTTGCCACCCCAGAAATAATACCTTTAGGAATAAGAAGGTTTAGCTGAACTGGCAAGACTGAAATAAATATAAAATGCAGTTTTTTACAGGATAGTTTGTGTGTGTGTGTATTATACAATTGCTTAACAGAAACAGTTCACCGTGGGGGGGAAATGTGTTTTCTTCACATGCACACAGACTTTGTGAGCCATGTCTGTACTTCAGAAAAGCTGAAGGGCCTCCTGTTACAAAAATTGGGGGAAATTAACACCAGCTGAAAAGGACAAGCTTCAAATTCAGTAAAAAAATTCCTTCCAGTAGCACCTTAAAGACCAACTAAGTTAGTTCTTGGTATGAGCTTTCGTGTGCATGCACACTATGGCAGACCAACACGGCTACCTATCTGTAATTCAAATTCAGTGTAAAACAAAAGCTCATGAAAACCAAAGGGTGATATCCAACGATGGTCATACTCAAGAGCTGTGGAATCATAGAATTGTAGAGTCTGAAGGGACCCTGAGGATCATCTAGTCCAACCCCCTGCAATGCAGGAGTAGGCAGCTGTCTCATACAGGGATCAAACCTGCAACCTTGGCATTATCAGCACAATGCTCGATCCAACTGAGTCACTGGAGGCTGGTTTGTTAGGGCAAGTGGGGCAGTGCCCCACCAACTTCAATCTGCCCATACCAAGTCACCTGGCTGCCTTTTCGCTTTCAACCAGTCCAGGGTATTGTGGCACACCTTTTCAGCTTCCTTTCCCTCCGTCTCAGCATTGCACCTTCTACAACTCAGCAGAGAGGGTGATGGGAACAACACCAGAATAAGTTAGCTCCACCTGTCTTTGGTTCTGGCTCCGCTTACTGTTTGAGCTTCCTGCTTTCTGCCCCATGAGTCTTGAAAGGTGCCAGTTACCACTGCTCAGAGTAGACCCATTCAAAGTCCACTGATTTCAATGGCTCTTCCCTGAGCATGAGTAGCAGTGGACGTCACGCAAAGTGAGCTTATTCCTGCCTTGATCTACCTGGAAAAAAACAAATTTATTAACGAGGCTTTCAAGTGTGTGGCCCAAAGCCAGAATTAATTTATCTTCTTCTTTTAAACTCATGATTCTTTGGAAGAAGCCCCACAAGTTTCAGAAAGCCTTGTGTGCCACGGACAGCAATATCTCATTCTTCAGGAGAAAAATTGTCCATGGAGCTCTGAGTGCACCAAGTTGCCACAAGGGAATACTGGTGCAAGGAAGAGACAAATAATTTATGTTTTTCAGTTGGAACCTGGCAGAACATTGGTCTCCACTGGCTTAAAATAACAACAGCCACAAGTCAAATTCTAGATGTAACTATTGGAGAGAGAAAAATGGGTTCTCTGTTGCACTAAAATCAGCACACTCTGGTAGAATGTTGTGCGGCCCCTGCTTTTTTCAACTAAGAATCTATACACTTGCATCTACTTTTATTCAATCATTTTTTTAAAAAAGTCTGTTTAAGAACATAGTTAAAGCTCTCTAATTGTTGGCTCAAAGTGTTGGCTGAAGCCTTAACAGGCATGCCCCGTGATCAGTTGTCCAATGTCTTACAACTTCCCCTCCTTGAACCCATACTTCTCCTTGGTCTTTCAGGCCCAAATCCAGATGAGGAAGATGCTCACTGAATTTCCCTGGTTTTCAAAACGGAAATCTATTTAAATATTAGGTTCTATTAAACACGTGTGTATGTGGTTATGTGTGTGGGTGTTGCAGTCTAAGTCAGAGTGGGGTTGCAGTGTGAGGACCAAAATGTAGGGTTCAGTGTAGGGTAGGTGGGTTCAGTTTGTGCTCAGGGTACATGGTGAAGTGGGATGTGTGAAAGCAGCTTGTGGGGTTCAGTGTGGGGCAGCTTCAGGCTCCAGTGGGATATGTGGAGGCATTTCAGTGTGAGGCAGAATGTTCAGGAGCTGGAAGTGGGTAATGTAGGTGTGGTTCTGAGGTGTTGTCTACCCTGACAATTTTTCAGGTTTCCAAGTGTGCCCATGGGCCCAAAAAGGTTAGTGGGCCCTCATCCTGCCTCTAGTCAAAACCTCACCACGCCAGGAAAGGATTGCCTTCCTCAGTAAGCCTGAATAAAGTACTTGGTACTTTAAAAACTGGAGCAAAAAGAATCTAATGTCCATTTTCAGCACTTACTGTGCTGTACTTTAATCAACACACGATATTATCTTGTGATGCTATCTGACAAGATATTATCTGGTGATAAATCCCTCCAAATCAAGATTCACTCATATCCAACACACTTTTGTCAGCCTCCAATTTCAAAAAAAAGGAAGAAGCTCAAAAGGCAAGAGGAGGTAGAATAAGGATTCTGCTATTCCATTGTGCCTTCCCTGCTCAATTTACTATATCAAATCACCCACACTCAGCATTGTCACAAGAAGAGGATAAAGGCCACCAACAAGGAATGGCAGTGATTGCTTCCCATGAACAGTACAGCTTTAGTCAGATCAAGCCTAAGACTTCTCACAGGTTGGAAAGCAGTGAGAACCCCACCCTCTGCAGCGTCCTCCAGCTGGGAAGCAGTGAACAAAGCCCTGGAGGAAGCAGACTCACTTCACATAGTGCACCTGAAGAGTAAGGAGACTGCCCTTCTCCCCACCCACCCCCCGCCACCTTCCAAAAAGCCCTGTGTGACATCAAGTTATCATGATCACAGCTAGGGATGGAGGAAAAAATTCAACTACGTACTTGTTGGAGGCTAATCTATCAAATTCACACTATCCAAAGCAATATGCAAACCAAAACACAGTCATCCTTCAAAATCCACACTTATCTGAATTTTGCAATGCAGTTCTCCAACCAAATGCATATATTAGGGGAAAGTGTACCTCAAGATGAAGGTGTTTGTGAAAATCATTATATTGGGGAAAAATTCTTGCAAAAATGTGTGCATTAGTCCAACCTGCATATATAAAAATGTGTTAGGAGAAAATCGCACTAATAAACAACGCTGATGAATTTTTGTGAGGATTCCTTAAAAAAAAAAAAGAGCACGAATTGCTACAAAATGTGGAGAACTAAATTTCTGATTGGAAAAACGAGAAACCAAGAGAACCAAAACTGACAGATCCTTCCATCCTTAATCATATCCCTTCTACTACCATCCAACTTGCCCATTGAGTGCCACAGAAGGCAAAAGGTGGGGGCATCACAGATCTTGTTACTTCCTACAAGGCTTCCAGAATGTAATAAAGCAGGACAGCAAACACGTCTTCATTCACAGGTTTATTTGGAGACCCTGCTAATGGGGTTTCAGTTTCCACTTGAAACAGGAATAAATGCCTTCAAACAAACAAGGAAACAAACAAATGAATGGAACCCTGCTTGGTATTAACCCTGGTTAACACAAGTGTGGACTATACCATAGTTGAGACTGATCAGATAAAGGGAGGAGTTCTCACCAGGGAGAGGAGGAAGAGTGAAAAGGCTACAGGTGAAGAATATGGTGAAGTAAGGTTGCCATATTCCAAGAAGCAAAAATCCAGACACAAAAAGTTGTTGAACCCGGACAGTTTGACGATTTCCCAAAATTCTCCCCAGATGCTAATTCCATCATTGGAATCACGTCCAGGAAAATCTAGACATATGGCAACCCTAGGTGAAGAGATCAGCAGAATCTTTGCTGGGTCTACATTATGACATTTCCTAAACAATTTATTATTCTTTTCCTTTAAATGAAATAGAATGTTGCAAACTCATAGCCACAAAGTTCAGGCATCCATTGTTCCAGGTAATATAGACTGGAGTTCTTATTCTGTATACTTTTTACCACTCAATAAAAGGGTACACATTTAAGCACCCATCCAGTGAGAGCTATCAGTGCATAATTCATTAAGGATATATATACATACATGCAAGAACAGAGCTTGAGGTTTCGATAACGGGAAAATTATTTTCACCAACAGACCCACCACACATGTGACCTCATAGACTTTTTGAACATGAATTAGGTTGATGCTTTTGAAAGACATGAGCCTGTGAATCAGAAAGCGCAAGTTCTCACCTTCTAAGTCTTCCTTTTCGAAATGTGTTTTGAGAAGGGAGCGTGTTCCACCCGTGTCCACCACTGCCTCCTCATCATTCCTCTGCAAAATAAAATAAAATAATACATCAGCTTTTCACTGTGCTGTCAGACTTGATACAAGGTGACAAGCATTTTAACAAGATACACTTTTTCCATCAGCAAAAAAGAAATGCAAAGAATTTTTAAATTTGGCATTTACAGATATAAAATCTAGCTCCATTTCAGCAAATCTGAAATAGATGATAGATCCATTGATAGAAATAATAAAATTAGGTGTGTGTCGCCTTCAGAAGAGCATTCTATTGATTGGGGGCCAGCCCTGGAAAGGCCTGTTCCCATGTGACCATCCTCTGCACTTCCTTCAGGACAGAGAATAGTCTCTGGTGAAGGTTGTAAGGTCCAAGCTGGTTTAAATGGGGAGAGGCGGTCCTCAAAGTATAACTGTCCTGAGCCATATAGGGCTCTAAAGATCAAAACCAGCGCTTTGAATTCAGCTAGGAAGCCAGTCAGTAACCAATGCGGTTAGGCCAGAATTAGTAGAATACATTCAGACATTCTGTTCCCCAATATCCCCCAACCTGATTGCTGAATTCTGCACTAGCGGAGGTTTCTGAACTATCTTCAAAGGCAGCCCCATGTATAATACATTGCAGTAATCTAACCTAGGCATTACCAGAGCATAAATAACGGCACATGTCTGGCACCAAGAATGGAGTGAGATCACTAGGTGTCCCAGTGGTAGTGCATGGGGGCACACACTATGCACACAGGCCTCCATCCCAAATAATGACTGGAGCATTTCGCTGTACTTAGCCTTATGCAGCATGACTGAACAAATCCAGTACCAGGAGGGAGAAAAGATGGGCTCCATTGAGACCTATGGGGAAATATTCCCATGCTGACAGAGGCACCTATAGAAGGAGATGCACTGCATACTTTATATAGGAAAATGTGCATGTGCAAAAGGCTTTTGTGAGTGTCAACCATATTTATTGCCTTTAAGAAATGTATGCTTACAAAACAGCTTTTGACTTGCGAGAAGAATATAGCCATGGAGGTAATTACTCTAGGATACTGCATGCACTTTTGTCAGATACCCAAAACATTGGGGGGAGGTGTTAGGATGGATACTTACTGAAACGCTCTAAAGCAGCGATTCTCAACCTGTGGGTCCCCAGATGTTGTTGGACTACAACTCCCATCATCCCTGAGCTCTGGCCTTGCTAGCTAGGGGTGATGGGAGTTGTAGTTCAACAACATCTGGGGACCCACAGGTTGAGAAAGGCTGCTCTAAAGAATTAGGGAGCATGTAGGATAAATTACTGTTCCACATTTTCTATAGTGAGATACCAGACTTTCCCTTCAGTGTACTGTATTTTTAAATACCAACATGTAAAAGCCCACACCTCTGTTTCATTGCAGATTTGACACTTTCAGGATTGTCAGAATGCAGCATCAAGTATCATCAAGTACTAGCCACGCGTAGTATGCTCTATACTCCTGCTAATGTTCACCTTGACATTTGCAAGAATGGTTGTACTGAAGCAAAAGAAAGACAAGCCTACTCTCTGAACATAAGGGCTAAGAATACCGACAGAAACACATCATTTCAAAGGTTGTTAGAAGTGTTCTCCGCTGCTGAGACAAAGAGAACTCTGATTATTGCCTTGCTCAGCTCCTCTCATTGAAGGGTCCTTATGATGACACAGTCATCCAAAATTGGTTTACGTTTATCTACATATTTGATGCCACCATCACCCTTCTTCCCTGAATCGTCTGCTTGAAGGTCTTGCTGCATTCAAAACAGGGCAGCTGAGGAAAGCGCTCTGAGTTTCATCTGCATAAAATAAACCCTTCCCTCTTCGATGAGCAGTCGAGGATTTGTTTATTTTTAGGGGGAAAGGGCAATTAAGTCCAGATTCTCCAAAGTATTATTTTAAAACCACCTCTATTATTATTATTATTATTATTATTATTATTATTATTATTATCTGACTGCATTAAGGTTAATGGATAGATGTTCCCCTTTTGGCCAGCCCTGTACCACACAGTACAGGATGTGCAACAAAGTAGAAAGCAATTAGTTTTCATTCCAGATTTATATCTTCCCCAGGGCAGCGTGTCATATGCATGAGGACAGCTCTGCCCTCCCTCCCTCCCTCTTAATAGAAAAAAACTAAGAGAACGCTCAAATGCACGCCTGCGATGATGCTAAAATTTGCACCAATCAGCTTTAGCTTGGGCAGACAGATGTGCCAGTCAGTTCCAGACACACAAATATTTAATGCAGCAAGCGTGCAACTTTTGAAAAGGGACACCATTCTTGGCATTAAATCAAAAGCAACAAACAACATGGCACTAAATGTGCCTTAGAAAGGGAGAAAGCAGGATAAATACTGGAAATGAATATGGGCTTATAACATTCTAATGCCCTGTTCAGCTATATATTGTTGACTTAAGCAGTGACTTCACTCCAGTGTATACCTTTGGCACTGCCTGAACTGAGGCATATTAAATGTACAATCAATTGAGCTGGATCGATTCTGCATCAAGCTAGTGGATCACTGCATTAAGCTGACACTGGTTTTGTTCGCTAAACAGTCAGTGAGTTATTTTTAAAACCATCCATGCATTGAGTGATGCAAAACAAAAGTACTTTTTAAAAATATTGCTCTCCCCACACCCCACATTTCTGCAATTCTGAGAATTGTATAATTCCATCTGCATTAGACATTTAAAACTGTGATCATACCACTTTAAACAGTCAAGGTTTTTCCCCAAAGGATTCTGGGAGCTGTAGTTTGTTAGGAAAGCTGAGTGTTGTTAGGATGCCCCTATTCCCTACAATTCTCAGAGTTTCCAAAGAGAAGCAAAAGATGCACTTTTGATCAGTGGGCTGGCACTGCACCCCACTGATGGCTTCTGGGTGGCAAGTATACCTGCCTGCTACCAGAGCCGGATTTAGGTTTGATGAGGCCCTAAGCTACTGAAGGTAATGGGGCCCTTTATATGTCCAGCTCTCCTTTGTCAACAACAAATTGTCGCTGTTTTTTGTGTTGAATATATGCTACATAGTAATTTATGGACCTAATAGGTATCTAAAGCTATCTGCACATGACAAAATATGTAATTTATCAAAGTAATTGTTGAACTGAAATACAATTAAGAAGAAGTATATTAATAGTGAAATACAATTAAGAAGAAGTATATTGGGGGGGGCTCCAAGAGAGTGGGGCCCTAAGCTACCCATCTTCTAGTACACACGCCTACATGCACACGTGTGCATATATTATTATTGATTTATTGATTTGCCAAATTACAATGGGGAAATGGGAATAAGAACCATAAACACAGGAAACATAACTGTACTAAGATGATGACTGTCACTGGAAACAGCAAAGGAAGTTTCAAGGGACATTGTGGTAGAACGGGGGAGAGGGGAAAGGCTGCTTTGCCCCGTCTGTTAAGGATCAAGTTTTCCATGGTTCGAAATATGAGCTCACTGAAGCTTCACAGATCATGGTACTTCAGAAATCATTTCCCTCCTCTATCCCAAAATGATACCGCTACCTGATATAAGGTATATATGCTCACAGGTTATGTAAGGACAAAGATATGCCCTGAGACCAGCGGGTATAGGGCAGTATATAAATTTAATAAATAATATAAATAACAAATAAATAATCCTCACCAAACTTAGCAAAAAATAGTGCAACAATGAGCTGAGCTACACATTACACTTGCCATGTGATCATCAGTCCAGCTAGGTCTATTCAAAACTTTGAAAGCTCGCTGCCCACAGGCAAAGGAAGCTAAAGGGGTTTAGAATTATGCTCACAGGGGAGGAGAAGGCATTGGCCTGCCTTCTCCATCTGTTGTTTATTTTTCATTTCTCTCTTTTTATCATGAATAATCTCCCATAGCCATAGTGAGGAGAAGATTACAGAGAAGATTACTTGGGGAACAGGGAAGCCTCCAGCAGCTTCTCCTTCGAAGTGACTCAGGTTTCCTTGTCTGTATGGAAGGAACCTTAAAAGTTCCAAAACTCAGCTACTTTTCAAGTGCAACAGGTAGCCCAGGAACAGGGAATGTGTGGCTGTCAGATGTTGCTAGACTGCAACATCCATCTCTTCAGTCCATAGGCCATGCTGGCTGAAGCAGATGGGAGAAAGAGGCCAACAACATCTCGAGAGAAACAGGTTCCCCAGCCCAGATGCAGCCTGTCCCTCATTTCAGCATTAACCTGTTGATAACTATGAAGATAATTTCTTCTAAATATTAGCAAAAATTAATTGAGAAGATCCAGTCCTCTTTTTCAGGTTCTCATGTTAGCACTTTTTTTTCACAACTGAAGATAACCCTGGCCATACTCAAGAGTCTGATACACTTTCTGTGTGGCAACTTGGTGAGGCCATCATTTGACCATGTCATTTTTCACCCTCACAATGAAATGAGTAATTTCTCAGACTGTAATATGCATTCAATATGCCGCACAATCGGGATAAATTTCCAGTCACATAATTCAACCTTGCACAGAGAAGAGCGGTGGTGTGTTACAGCTAAGCCCCATTAAAACCAATGGCATTTCCACATAAATGCTTTGTGGAGATAAGGTTCAGTCATATATTTCCAATTTATACAGCTGCCATTTTACATACCCATTTTAAACTTACGTGTTAGCAAAGCTACTCTAGAATGCTGGATCACTGAAATACTGAAGCAAGAGAATGATTTTTAACCCCTATAATGACAAGTTCCCCTGGCCAGAACCCCTCTGACATGATTTTATATCTCCTCGCAGACAGAGATAAGTATGTGACCTGGCGTGTAGCACTCTTTGCAACTGCCGCTAGGAAAATTAGAGCAAATTATATAGCCAAGGTAGCCACCAACTGTAAAGGAGATGAATTTATTTGACCCTATCTACAGCAAGCTACTGTAAGGGACGTGGGTGGCCCTGTGGGTAAAACCTCAGCGCCTAGGATTTGCCGATCGTCAGGTTGGCGGTTCGAATCCCCGCGGCGGGGTGCGCTCCCGTTGCTCGGTCCCAGCGCCTGCCAA